CCTCGCCCCCACCAGACCGCTCCTGCCAAGGTTCTGGTCGCAGCCCCCAGGCCAGCGGCCCCTTTGGCCCTTCTTGCTCGGCCCCTCACAGCATTTGGCATGCGACCCTGGGTCCGGAACCGGGCTCCCCTCCCACTCTCCACCCTGCCCTCTGCCTCTGTCCTCACTCAGCAGGTGGCTCTCCTGAGCGCAGGCACTGTCCCTGATGGAGGCACCTGCCCTTGGCCCTCCTCCAGGGGGCGCCGCGGAGCCCCACCGTGTCGGATGGCACCCCTGCTCCCCTCTCTTTAAAAATGTGGAACGCTTCAGGAATTTGGGTGTCATCCTTGTGCAGGGGCCATGCTAATCTCCGTATCGTCTTCCTTTTAGTATAGGTGCGGCCAAAGCGAGCACTCTGCTTTTTTTGGAAAAAGTATATTCTATTGATTTTTTACAGAGAGGAAGGGAGAAGGATAAAGTGTTAGAAACATCGATGAGAGAGAAACATCCATCAGCTGCCTCCTGCACACCCCTTACTGGGGATATGCCCGTAACCAAGGTACATGCCCTTGACTGGAATCGAACCTGCGACCCTTTAGTCCTAAGGCCAACGCTCTATCCATTGAGCCACACCGGTCAGGGCACACCCTGCTCTTAACATCCAGCACCAGCACAGGGTTTGGCGGCCACACCAGAAACCTCTGCCTCCTCAGCCCCCCGGGTCCGCGCCTTGTTGGTCGTCTCAGGTCTCGGCCCTGGCCGCCTCCCTCTCCTCTCTCTGTCGTGGCTCATCCTGTATTTCGCGCTTACCTCCCCGCAGGGCGGGGCCTCAAACAGCCTCAGAGACAACGAGGATTTCATTTCTTTCTCCAGTTAGTCCCTCTGCCTTGCGGCTCAGCTGACGCAGGGCAGGGGTGTAGTGGGCAGCGAGTCGATCATTCAGGACCAATCCAGTTACTCGGCAAGCGTCCTCTGAGGCCTGCTGTGCGCCAAGCTCTTGGGCACATGCGTGAGGGACAGTCCCTGCCTTCACTGAGCCCACATTGACGGGAGGACATGGACAGAACCGACACCAAACAGACAGTACGTTAGGCCAGTGGTCGGCAAACTCATTCGTCAGCAGAGCCAAATATCAATAGGACGACGATCAAAATTTCTTTGGAGAGCCAAGTTTTTAAAATTTAAACTACATAGGTAGGTCCATTGTTACTAACTTAATTAGGGTCCCCCTAAGCTGGCCTTTGCAAAAAACTCAAGGGGCCAAAGAGCCGCATGTGGCTCGGGAGCCGTGGTTTGCCGACCACTGAGTTAGCCAATCGCACAGGAGGGCCGAGGCAATAGGTGCTGGTAAGGATGGGGCCGGGGGCCAGGGTGCTGCGCCGGTGCAGAGGGTCCCGTTACAGAGCGGTCCTGTGGGGAGGCCTGGGGGGAGGGGGAGCCTGGCGTGGACAGCCGAGAGGAGCAGTGACAGGAGGAACTGTTTGTGCAGGAGCAGGTGGCGGAGGTCACCGCCAAGGCCAGGGCCGTGCGGGCAGCCCCGGAGCTTGGCCTCGGCTGGTGTAACGGAGCCCTCACTCGGAGTTGTGCCACGGGAATGCCCGTCAGGCCTGCCGCGGAGCTGCCAGCTCTCCCTTCTTCCCCACAGGCGCCTCTCCGAGTCCAAAGGCAGTGGTGGCTCAGGGTGCCTGGGCGGGGTGCTGACCTGAAACCCAGGAAAGGGGCCCCTCCCCTCAGGGCCTCGGGTTCCCGCTGTGAGACCCGCCACCTGCTGCTGCAGGCCGCAGTCAGCCGAGCTTCTCTCCGCAGGTGGGGACGACGCCTTGCTGAAAGGCTGGGACACCAGGGTCCCCAGCGCACCGGTGTTCACCAGCAAGAGGTAAGCCCCGGGCCGGCGGGGGGCTGGCAGCGCCTCCCGGAGGGGCTGCCCGCGCCTGCTGAGGCCTTGCCCTTTGGTTACAGACACGGCATGGGGGTGTGCAGCATCCAGAGCAACCCCCACCGGGAGGGCATCCTGGCCACGGGGAGGTGAGGCCGCGGCGGTTCCTGCGCCCTTCCTTCCTTCCTGTCCTTGGGCCGGGGTGCGGGTGGGGGAAGGGGACTCGGCCCCCCGTCCTGGGAGACGACCCTGCATGGGGCCCTGTCAACCCTGCATGGGGCCCTGTCGTTGGGTTTCAGCTATGACGAGCACGTGCTGCTGTGGGACACGCGGAGCATGAAGCACCCGTTTGCAGACGTGCCCCTGCAGGGCGGGGTGTGGCGGCTCCGGTGGCACCCCGTGCACAGCCACCTGCTCCTGGCGGCCTGCATGCACGGAGGCTTCAGCATCATCAACTGCCGGCAGGCCACGGGTGAGGGGTCCTGCCTCCGTCCCCGCGTCCTCCAGGCCGGCTCTGAGTGCACCGGAGTCGGTTGCAAGCACTGTGCCCTTGGGCTGCAGTTCTCCCCTGAGCAGCTCGGTGGTTCTGGAGCCTTCTGCATTGTCTCGTTCCTAACCACCCTTGGCCCACCTTCTGCCTTGTCCTTCCTGCCGGCGGACAAGGTGGTCTGTGCGGCCAGGTGCCCCTAACGTGCTTCCCGTCCTCTCCTGCTCCACTCCCCCTGTGGGCAGAACCAGCAGCAGTTCCACCCGCACTGCTGGGCCGTCCAGCAGAGTGCTGGCAGGCCCTGGAGTTGCCAGCATGGACCTGGCCTGTGCGGCCCTGCGCCATCCTGTGCGCTCTGTTGCAATTCAGACCGCGTGGCCCTGACCCTGCACGTGGGAGGCAGCGGTGGCCACCCTTTGGGTGCTGGCCTTTCCGGCTGGTGACTGCTCCGCGCTCACATCCCCACTGGCCTGGCGTTCCCCAGCGGCTCCAGCCAGCCTCGGCCCGGTGTGGGCCGGACCCCTTTCTTTCTCTGGTCCTCTCTCTGACCGTTGGCAGCTTTGTGCCTTCTGGACGGAGGCCTGGCCTCCCCCGGTCCCACCTCTAGCCTCCAAGTTGCCACAGCAGCTCAGGAAACTGCTCACGTTCCAACCCTTCCAGCTGAGTGTGCTGACGGGAACCATCCAGCCTGGTCACCATGTCCCGGGCCTTCCCCTCGTCCCCGTGTTTGTGGCTCCCCAGGAGCTGTGCTCTCCCTGCCTTGCCTCCGCAGGCAGCTCCTTTGTCCTCAGCTGTGCACGTGTCCTGCCAGCCAGGCCCAGTGCATGGAGCATCGTGCCTGGTGTCAGCCGGCCTCTGTCCACCCCACACCCACTCCCACAACAGTGGTGCTCGTCGTGAGGGCGGGCAGGGCCGTCGGCAGGGTCAAAGAGACCAGCTCCACGTAACGATGCATTTCCTGTTCTGTCTAGAGAAGAAGCAGAATGTGTGCACCGTCTGTGTGTCCCACACGCTGCCCAGGTCCCTGCTGTATGGAGCCGACTGGTCCTGGCTCACTTTATGCCCTCTGCCTGAGCAGCAGCTGTCATCCCACTCAGTGCCCTTACCCGGCTGCCCCCTAGCGGCCAGAATGGAAGGCGAGGGTGGAGGCCAGTCGCCAGGACCTCCCTGTCCTGGCAGTCTCATGGAAATCACGAGTGGAAGCAGGGGAAGCCCTCCCCTGCCGTCCACCGAGGCGAGGAGCAGCAGCAGCCAGCGGCACAGCCCGAGGACCAGGATCCGTGTCTGTGACCCAAGGGTGGGAAGACCCGACCTCGACATCAGCCTGCTGGCCACGTGCTCCTTCTACGACCACGTTCTCCACCTCTGGAGGTGGGACAGCAGCTGAGCCAGGGGCGGCCTGGCTCCGGACCACCAAGACCAGGCCCTGAACGAGCTGCCTCGGACCCTCCTAGGGCACATGCTTGGGTTGTGGGCTCGATCCCCAGTTGGGGGGGTGCGTGCAGGAGGCAGCTGATCCATGACTCTCATCACTGATGTCGCTATCTCTCCCTCTCCCTCTGAAATCAATTAAAAACAAGCACAAAATACTGAGATTCTGGCCGGGAGGGCCTCTCAGGCTTATCTTCTGTGGATCTTTCAATTCTTCCCACTCGTTTAAGCAACCTTTACAGTAATTACACCAGCAGAGAGACTTTACATGCACTTTTAAAAGATCACCCACCTCACGGAGGCACCGGAGGCGCTTCTGTCTTCGCCAGCGTGGCAGCAGGGGGAAAGGGGTGTGGGTGGGGAGGGCGGGGTGGGCACGCTTCCTGATCCTGGCTTCCGGGGAGCTGCCGAGCTTCCCCACGTTGCACACGAGAAACCCATACACATGGCTGGGCTCCTGACCCCCCACGTCCAGACAAGCTCGCCCGGGGCATGGGCCACCGCTGAACTCGCCAAGCCGTCAGCATTAGGGGGGGAGGGGGGGCCTTGAACTGTGCACTTGAGCGTCTCCCTTCCTGGGGTGCAGCACCGCTCGCGTCCGACCAGGACGTGCTGGGTCATCCTGGCTAGCTGGTCAGTCCCCTTACTGTCCTCTGGAGCTTCCGTTCCTTAAGGGTCAATCCCGTACTAAGACCACAAAACCCTAGAGCCGTGATCGGCAAACCGCGGCTCGGGAGCCACATGCGGCTCTTAAAGTACCACGGCCTGGGCGTGTGTTTTGAGGAAGCGGCGTTAGAAGTCTCAGCTTACAAATTTGGCTCTCCAAAGAAATGTCAGTTGTCCTCCTGCCGATATTTGGTTCTGAGGACTAATGAGTTTGCCGACCCCAGTCCTAGGGGTCCCGGCTGAAACAGGCCGGGCACGGGGAACACGACTGAGGTCCCTCGGTGCTGCCAGGGAGCTGCGCCTCTCACCTGACATGCCCCCACCCCGCCGCCAGCTGCTCTGGAACCGTGAGCGGGTCACCCCGGGTCACCCCGGCCCGGGTGAAGGGCCAAGGGGGTGGCCTGGCGGCGGGGACACGTGGCACACAACCACGGGAAGGGGCCGAGCCCGCCCTCGGGGCGCTCCTCCCGGCCTCCACCTCGCCAGGACCACACGCCAAGCACACGCGCGAAGGTAGCCGCGGCCTTTAATGGCGCCGGGGAGGGGCCGGGGCCGGGGCCGCTAGCGCGGGAAGTTCTTGGGGTACAGCTGGAAGAGCTTGCCCTCCTGCGTGGGCTCGAAGCCGTACTTCTCCAGGCGCTCGGGGTCGAAGGTGCCGGCCCTGAAGTCCTTCTCGATGGCGGGCGCCACCGCCTCGCGGAAGAGCTGCTCGGCCGTCAGGGGCGCGTCGGTGCCCGCGGGCGCGCGGTAGTTGACGTAGGGCTTGAGCTTGAAGCCGGTCAGGTCGGGCACCACCAGCTCGGGCACTTGCTCCTTGACGAGCAGGAACTTGCCGCCGCGGACGAGGTAGCCGGTGCCCTTCGCGCCGCGGCTCTTGTAGAAGGTGCGCGGGCCCCGCTTGCTCGTCCACTTGCTCATGCGGTCGGCGCCGCGGACCACGCAGCGCGCCGCCGCGCCCAGGAGCCCCATGCCGCCGCCGCCGCCGCCGCTCTCTGCGCCCCGGGCCCTCCGCGGCGAGCTTCCGGCTCTAGAAGCGGCTTCCGGCGCCAGGGGCAGCTTCCGGCGCCCGCCCCCCCGCGCCGCAGCAAGAGCCGCTCCGATTGGCTGCGCCGCTCCCAGTGCGCAGCCGCGGCCCTGCGAGGGGGGCGGGACCGGAGGGGACCCGGCCAATGAGCGGGGAGAGCCGGCGTCCGAGCGCGGCGGCGAGAGCGCGGGCTCGGTGAGTGGCGGCCGCGCGCCCCGAGCGGCGCCCCGGCGTCCGGCCTGCGGGGAGGGGTGGCCCGCGGCTCCCCAACCCGCGCCCGGCGCACTCGGCCGCTGGCCACTGGGAGGAGTTACGGGGGCACCAACCGTGCCCCCGCCTGACGCCCCCAAACTCGGTGCCCCCGTAACTCTGACACCCTTAACCGCGTCGCCCCTCGCACCCCAGTAACAATGAAGCCCCCAAACCCGACGCTCATCTTAACACCCATGTCCCTGTGACACCGACGCCCCCATACCCGTGACCCCTGAACCTGAAGCCACCGTAACACCGACGCCCCTTTACCCCGACACCCTCTAACCGACACCCTCTAACCTGTCGCACTGACGCCCCGTTACCCTGACACCCCCAACTGACGCCTCCTTAACTCTGGTGCCCTCAGAACCCCAATGCCCCCCCTAAATCTGACGCCTGGAGATACTCCTGTTCCCTAACCTCCACAGCCAGTCCAGACACCCCTAACTTGCCATTTCCGCTAATCCTGACATCCCCCAACCCTGGACACCCCTAACCTGATATCCCCCCAACCCTGGACACCCCTAACCCTGACATCCCCTCAACCTCGATCCAGGCTCTGTAGGCCCCCAACCCTGGTGCCAGGTCCCTCAGCTCTGCACGGGGTCCCCTCCCTTCCGGCCCCAGGCTGTTCCCCTACAGAAGTGACAGCAAGTGCTGAGGGGCGAGGTTGGTCAGGGCAGTAGCCGCCACAGGGGGTCCGGAAGGGTTTCCCTGCGGGGCGGGGAGGGCACAGGACATTTGACCCCGTGAGCAAAGGCAACGACCCCACACCTGCCGGCTCCCTGCTTCTCTGGGTGGGACTTAGTCGGAGAGAAGCCCTCCCTGGCTCCTGCGTTCCTACGGGGCCCGGCCAGGTGAGGGGGCTGGTTCCCTGGACCCCACACACCTGCTTGAGGGCTCAGGCACACTGGATGGGAGTCCCCACGCCTGGCCTCTGGGGAGGGTGCCCTCTGTGTGCCCAGGCCAGCTTGGAAGGCCGCTGGCAGGCATGGAGCCGGGGCCAGCTGCCCGCTGCCCTTGCTGCCCGGGCAGCCACGTGAGGGCTGTTTGTGGAGGGGGCATGGCTTGCTGCCTGGGAAAGGCAGCTCCGTGTCCTCCTGCCAATGAAAACACAGAGATTTACTTCCCTCGGTTTTGTTTGCTTGTGGGTCCTCACCCGAGGACATTTTCCCTTTGATTGGTAGAGAGAGTAGAGAGAGAGGGAAAGACCGGAGGAAACATCCACGTGAGAGAAACACGTCAACAGGCTGCCTCCTGACCAGCCCCCACCAGGGCCCAGGCCCGGGCGGGGAGGAGTCTGCAACCCAGGTACGTGCCCTCGTCCGGAATGGATCCCGGGGCCCTTCGGTGTGCAGGCTGACGCTACCCACTGAGCAAAACTGGCTAGGGCGGAAAACATAATGAAAGAAAACTTTCTAACACGTTTTTAATGATTTGAGAGAGAAACATCGATGGGCTGTCTCCTGCACTCCAGCTGCTGGGGATCGAGTGGGGACCCAGCCTGCCACCTGGCATGTGCCCAGACCCCGACCAGGATCGAACTGGTGGCCTTTGGGCTGAACACATAGCTGATTGCGGAGGGGTGCCCGGGGAAGGGAGCCCGGGGCAGGCTCCCCCGCGGCTCAGTGGGCTGGACGCTTGTTCCAACGTCTCTCTTCCTTTGCAGCCATGGAGCAGGAGGAGCAGGCCGGCCTGCAGGTAGGGAGCTGAGCAGTTTCCCATTCGGGGCTCCCTGGGCCTGTGGAGTGAGGGGGGGCTGTGTCTCCCTCCCGGGGTCATTCCTGGCCTCAGGCACCGTGAGAAGTTGGAGTCGGAGGCGCGGGACCTCGGGGACTGTGCACAGGGCTCTGGTCACCGCCGCCCGCCCCGCCCCTGGACGGTCTGGGCTTGGCGTGGGGGTGTGGCCGTGGGTCTGAGCACCCCGTCTGGGCCAGGGGGAACCGAGCACAGAGGTTGAATTTCCCGGGCACTTCCTGAGGTCCGGACGCAGCGCTCTGCCCGAGGTGCCCTGGCTCCAATGCCAAGTCCGACCCGGCTCGGGGGTCAGGCAGGAGCGGGAGCGGGCTTGTGCAGAACGCCAAGGATGGACAGGGAGAGGAGGGCGGCAGCTTCCTCCACCTCGGCCTCTGCTGCTCTCCAGGGCTCACTCCTCCCACTCCCCCTCCGGTCTGGACTTCTGAAGCCAGGCTAGCCCTTCTCCTGGGGCAGCCTGGGGGGAGTGCGGGGACCTGAGGTTCTCACAGCCCAGGTGGCTCCTGGGCTTTCCCGGCACCCCTGGCGCTTGGGCTCCTGTGTGCCCGGGCCAGCAGCTCAGGTCGTGGTGGTGCCCGGAGGTTGCTGAGCGTCAGTAGTCAGCGGGCCTTTCCCTCTGGACTCGCCGCCTGAGAGCGCAGGGTTCAGACACATTAATGGCCTGTGGAGTGTGTGCCGCCCACACAGCCGGGCTGCCGGCCCACTCTGCCCTGCCGGCCCGAGGGCACCCGTGGACACAGGTCTGACTCCCGAGACGGGGGCTGCCTTCCTGGGTCCCCGCCCTGACCCCGAGCGCTGTCTCTGCCTGGCCTGCCCTGACCTCCACGCTCTCCCTCCCGCAGGCTGGCGTCTGCCTGGGCACCGCCCTGCAGTCCTGGTGGCTGCTGGTGATGGAGCAGCACTCACAGTCCACCATGGTAACCAGCGCCCCGCCGCCGGCCCCCTCGCCCCTCGTGCCGTGCCTGTGGTCAGGTGGGACGGCTGCGCAGCCTCGCTGGCCTGACGCGCTCTGTCTGCCCCCTCCAGCTGACGGGCATGGCGATCGGAGCCCTCCTGGCCCTGGCCCTCGTGGGCATCGCCGTGCTCTTTGTGCGCAGACGGCTTAACCAGCAGCGTGAGTGCATCGCTTCGGGCGGCCCGGGGAGGGCGCCGAGGGCACCGGGAGGTCCGGGTGGCACCCCTCCCCCGCCCGAGGCTGTGAGTGGAGACTCTGGCTGTGGTCCTCGTCTGTCCACGCTTCTCCAGTCTCGCCCACACCGCCTTCCGTGGGAAGAGCGAGTCTCTGGGTCCCCTTGGGGTGGGGGGTGCCAGCCTGGACGGACGCTGCCCTTCCAGCGCTGGGGGGGGAAGGGGGAGGGCACGGCTCAGGCGGCCACTCTGCTCCCTTGCAGGACAGGTGCAGCCCACCCCGCAGTACAGGTTCCGGAAGAGAGACAAAGTCATGTTCTATGGCCGGAAGATCATGAGGAAGGTAGCCTGGCTCCTGGCTGCGGCCCTCGCTTGGCCCTGACTCCGGGACCTCGGCCCCCACTGGCCTGGCCGGGATGGCTCCATGGCTCTGTGCTGGGCTGGGGGGCTGGGTGGGGCTCCAGGAGGATGGGGGGACGGGAGGGGCCCTGGGTAGGACTGGGGGGCCAGGTGGGGCTCTGTGGGTCTAGAGAGGCCTGGGTGGGGTTTTCTGGGGGGCTGGGGAGCACTGGGTGAGGCTGGGGGGGGGCTTGCTGGGCGGTCTTGCCAGGATTTGGGGCCAGGTCCCCATGGGGTGGAAGCCCCTCTCTGGGGATGAGCATCCTGGTCCAGCTGGTCCCAGTGGCCTGTGCCCACTCCCGGCTCTGAGGGCGGGAAGGACGCCAGACACTCAGAGGCCCGTGTACTCAGAGTCAGGCTCGGGGGCCCTCCTCTGTCTGGGACATGGGGGCTCTCGCTCCTTGTAGAAAACTCGCAGCGTCAGACAAGCGTGTGTGTCTGGCCTGGGTCCTGTGAGTTCTTCACGTCGAACTTCGTGAGGTCGGCCTCCAGTGTCAGGTGCTGGGCGGGAGGTCGGCTGGGGCTGCCCCGGCGTGGTGGCCGCTCGGAGCCCGGACGGGCCGCACCCGCTGTTGGCAAAGGCAGCTGGTGTGGGCACGTGCAGCTGCTCCAGACGGCCCCGGCAGGTTGAAGGAGCTGGTGCATGTGGGGCGGGGAGCCCAGGGGTGCAGGGACACCTGGGAAGGCCCACACCCCACAGCAGCTGAGGCCCTGGGGCTGACCCTCATGTGGAGGGAGAGCTGAGGGCAGCAGAGGGACCAGGACAGGGGCCCTTGTCACACCACTGCCCGCCCGGGGCAGCCCGGTTGGCCTGACCCCAGGGAAGGAGGGCAGGACTTTCCAGACCCGGGCGATGGTGCAGAGACAGGGCTGGAGGGAGTGGAGCAGCAGGCAGGACAGGGCAGGGCGGGCTCCAGAGGCTATGAGGAGGTGGCCACACTGCCTTCGGGGGACGGCCCTGGCCTGAGGGGTCACTGTCCAGAGCACCAAGGTTGGTCCCCACGTCCTGGGCTGGCTGAGGGCTGGGGCTGACCGCCGAAGCCGAGACCCGGACCCGGCCTGTCTCGGGGTGTGACTTGGCCTCCCCTGCTCACTCTGCAGGTGACTACACTCCCCAACACGCTTGTGGGGAGCACGGCCGCCCCCCGGCAGCGGGTGAGGAAGCGGACCAAGGTGCTGTCCTTGGCCAAGAGGTACGGAGCTCCCCCGGGGCCACTGCCGAGCTCCCAGCTGCGGGCTCTGCTCCAGGGCGCGGGTCTCTGCTTTGTAGGATCCTGCGTTTCAAGAAGGAGTACCCAACCCTGCAGCCCAAGGAGCCGCCGCCCTCCCTGCTGGAGGCCGACCTCACGGAGTTCGACGTGAAGAACTCGCACCTGCCCCTGGAGGTGCTGTACATGCTGAAGAACGTCCGGTGAGGGGGCCACCGGCCGGCGTGCGAGGCCTGTCCTGTGCCCCCGAGGCTTAGCGCAGCCACCGCCGCTCTGCCCGGCGGTCGGAGGGGCCTCCTTACCCGTTTCTGCTCTTGTGTTCACGCGCGCGAGCGGCACTCGCGCCCGCCCGAGGGCCCTCGGAGCCAGTGGGAGTCGCAAGCCCAGGTCCCCTCTACCCCTCCCCGATCCCTCCTTCCTCTTCTCGCCCCTTCCCGGCGGGAGGGGCTCCTCCCCGGCCTTGGAGATGGGTCAGCGTCCCTGGGCCAGAGCTGTGAGCTGGAAACAGCTGGTGGGGTTCCTGTCCCGATGGGGACTCCAGGCCGCAGCCCCGGGGAGCTGGCTGTGCATCCGGCCGGAGGGGCGGGAGGGGCGCTGGCCTGGCCGCCCTCCCTGACGCCGCCGCCCGCCGGCCTCGCAGGGTGCTGGGCCACTTCGAGAAGCCGCTGTTCCTGGAGCTCTGCAAGCACATGGTGTTTGTGCAGCTGCTGGAGGGCGAGCACGTGTTCCGGCCGGGGGAGCCGGACACCAGCATCTACGTGGTGCAGGACGGGCGGCTGGAGGTCTGCATCCAGGACGCGGTGAGAGCGGGCGCGACGGAACCCGGGGGGGGGGAGGGGGGGCGGCGGCGGGGGGGACGCGGGGCGGGGCGGGGCACCTGCTGTGTGTTTCCTGGAGGTCTGCTCTCAGCGTTTTCTTACATTTTCCGTGGAAAAGTTAGTGCAAACTCTTAAGTTTTAGTACTTTGAGGGAAAGGGCACATGTTGATCACATGGGACACAACTGCTCTTGACGCTGGGGGGGATCTCTCACACACACACACACACACACACACACACACGTACGCGCGCACACCCGTTTTGTTGAGTGGGTTCAGCAGCACTGAGTGGTTTTACTGCTGCCTCGCTGACCCGGCCCAGGCAGTGAGAGGTTCCCCCACTTCCACACATGCGTGCGTGTGAAATCGCCAGTGTTGCCAGGTCTTTCTCTTTTAATCCGGTGGGAAATGGAATCAAAATGCATGGCTGACACTGACAGGACGTGGATTTGGTCCCCAGCCTCTGGCGGGGCCTGCGGCCTCAGGGCGGTTTGCTAGGATTCAGGCCCTGTTCTGGGTGCGGATGGCCCTGGGGTTGGACGAGGGTCGGACGGGCAGGCGGGCTTCGCTGTTCTCACGCTGCCCGTCCTCTGCTCCGAGCGCGTCCCTCTGGTCCGCAAGGCTGCAGGGTGCGGCCCGCCCCTCGGCGGGCGGTGGAGGCCGCTGCCCCGCTGGCCGAGCCCCCAGTGGACGCTCTGCTCTGCCCCACGTGCAGGACGGCTCCGAGGTGGCGGTCAAGGAGGTTCTGGCCGGAGACAGCGTCCACAGTCTGCTCAGCATCCTGGACGTCATCACCGTGAGTGCCCGCTGCACCCACGGCAGCCAGGGCCCCGCCCGACAGCGGCCCACGGACGGCGGCCCGCGAGGTCCCGCATCTCAGCAGAGCTGGCTGCTCACGGGCTTGGGGCGTCTCTTAAGCGCTGTGTTTGGATGGGGTCACCCCCACACGTGGTCCAGGACCCAAAAGGCCTGCAGCGTCACAGGTGGAAACGCCCCTGCTCCCCTGGGGGACCCACTCTGGCACCTTGGTCCCTTCCACTGGCTACTGTCACGTGGCTTCATATGGGCGTCCACCTGGGTGCCTGAGTCCAGTCTGTAGGACAGTCCTGGGTCCCTGGGGCGCACCCCTCACGGAGGCTGAACCCCCTCGCGCATCCCTCCCCAGCTGGGAGCCGTCTGAGAGGTGGTTTTGCTGGTCTAGTCGGTGACCTTGGGTTTTCTAAGCGTTTATTCTGGAACATTCCAAACCTTCCGCAGTCAGAGGGCAGACGGGTATGAGTGTCTGTGCCAGGTCCCAGCTGCGGCCTCGGCTCAGCCCCTGGCTCCCCTGACAGTTTCCTTCGAGTAGAGTCCACACGGTCACCCAGACCTTCCCGCTCGGTAGCTCACCAGGGCGCTGTCACTCGGCAGGTGCGCCCACGTCAGCCTTCTCCTCGGGAGGGGCACCCTCCTTTAGGTTCTCGCCTGAGGGTGCTCCCCACTGGTTTTTAGAGAGAGTGGAAGGGCGGAGAGATACATCGACGGTTGCCTCCCACCCATACCCGCCCGGGGCCAGATGGGGACCAGGCAGGTGCAAAGATCCAGGTGCGACGTGCCAGGTGCAAGGTGTATGCGGGTCCATGGCTGGGGGGCACCAGTAAGAGAAACTCGACCCCGAAAGCCTGTGTGACCGCCACAGCAGCTGTCCGCGGGACTGCCCGCCCTGGGAGCCAGGGTCCGAGCACCGCCGCGTCCCGGCAGACAGCCGTCCCGAGAGCGGGCTGCGTCCCCGGGTGTCGTCCCAGGGACAGGAGCCAGGCCTCGCGTCCGCACAGAAGACGGCTGGCCGGTTGCAGGAGCAGTGGTGGGAGGAGAGGGTGACGGGACTGAGCTGAGCAGAGAGGGCGGGGGGCACCCAAGGGGACCCTCTTCTCGAACACCGAGCTGAGCGCCTCCTGAGCCAGCGCCCCTCGGTGCACCTTGGGGAGGCCCTCGGGCTGGTGCCTGGCGCGCCGTTGCAGAGGGACTGAGAGCCGGGAGAGAACTCCAGGCCAGGGGAGCCCTGACGTGCCTGTCCTTGCAGGGCCACACCGCGCCCTACAAGACCGTGTCTGCCCGCGCCGCCGCCCCGTCCACCGTGCTCAGGCTGCCCGCCGTGGCCTTCCAGGGCGTGTTTGAGAAGTACCCGGAGACCCTGGTCAGGGTGGTGCAGGTGGGCGCTCGGGCCCGGCGTGGGGCTCCAGGGCGTGCAGGCGGGCGGTGGGAGGCGGGCACCTGGTGACACGCTCCACGATAAGCCCAGGCTCTGACCTCCGGAGGCCCCAGAGCCTCCCAGGCCTTTGGTTCCTGCCGGAGCGGTTTTAGTTCATAGGAAGCTTACAAAGGTGACACAGAGCGCTCCCGCCTGAGGCTGACACTTAGGTGACCGTGGAGATTGTCAAAAGGGGGGGGGAGGTATTCCGGCTCTCAAGGCCCAGGTAGACTCACGGCCGTGGCCCTGTCCCCCAGATCATCATGGTGCGGCTGCAGCGGGTCACCTTCCTGGCTCTGCACCACTACCTGGGCCTGACCACGGAGCTCTTCAACCCCGTGAGTGTGTGTGTGTGTGTGTGTGTGTGTGTGTGTGTGTGAGAGTGTGTGTGCTGGGGGGGCGTCACGGAGGTTGTCACCTCCTTCCCCGGGCGCGCTGGTGGCTGGAGGTGGGCTACGCCAGCTCCCACCCCGAGGCCTCGGACGTAGATGGGACCTCGTGCCCACCTCGCCCTCTCCCGTGCCACACTGTCCCAGGCCAAGCCCTCCTGCTTCCCGCGTTACTCTCCACCTGCTGAGGAGTGTTGCCGTTTCTGACCATTTCGATCGTTGTTTTAAGCTTGCCGGGTCTCTGTCGCCTTGAGCAAACCAGTTGTCCTTTTCTGCAACTGGTTTCAAGTCCCCCCTGGCTGCCCCGCCCTGAGGGTGCACGCCGCCCAGGCGCTCAGGGCAGCCCCTCTTGCTCACGCCCAGGAGAGCCAGGCCATCCCCCTGGTGTCTGTAGCCAGTGTGGCTGCTGGGAAGGCCAAGAGGCAGATGAGCTGCGGCCCCGAGGAGCGGCCGGAGCGGCCCCTGGAGCCTCAGGAGTCCTGCGATCCAGGTACTCGCCCAGGACAGACCTCCACCTGCCTCGGCCTCCTTCTCTCTCTACCTTCCCCCTCTGGCCCCGGCCTCCTCTCCCCACTGGCCCCGGCCTCCTCTCCCCACCAGCCCGGGCTCCTTCCCCCTCTGGCCCCGGCCTCCTCCCCTCCCCTCCGGCCCCGGCCTCCTTCCCTCACCGCCCTCGGTCGCCCACTGCCTCCCCGTCTCTACTGGGGTCTTGCCTGGGGAGAAGGTGTCCAGGGTGGGCGTTGTGCTCTGAGCCCCGACCGAGCCTGGTGCGAGGCTGTCCCAGTGCACCCGTCACCTGGGCCGGCGGGCACAGGCGGTGGGCAGGCGGGCACGGGCGGTGGGCAGGCGGGCACGGGCGGTGGGCCAGCGGTGCAGTGAGGTGTGGCCTGTGAGGCATGTGCACAGAATCCCGGGCCCCGAGGTGGGGGCATGTGCTGCTGGGGGGACGGAGGCCCACCTCACCACGCCCTCCCCACAGACCACGGGGGCGGCCGGGCAGCCAATGGCGGGCCTCTGCTGAAGAGGAGCCACTCTTACCCACTGTCCTCTGTCCACGAGGAGGTCTCGGATGACCTCGGCCAGGCCCAGGCGGGCGACCAGGCCGCTGCGGCCCCCCCAGGTGAGAACCGGCCACCGCACACGGGCCCCCTCCAGCACCCAGGCCGGCAGCAGGCACACCGCGCCTCGAAGGCTACGTGCTGCGGTCGCACCTTCCGTCCAGGCGGGCGGGCGGGCGGGCGGCCGGAACGTGCGCATGTCTGCCACGGGCGTGGGGCGGGTGTAGGAGACGGTGTGTGGTTCCGTGGCTTACTGATTTTCACGTTGCCCTTTTACTGACGTCAGAGGGAGAGAGAGGCATCACTGAGGAGAGAGAGTCGTGGATGGGCTGCCTCCTGCACTCCCCACACTGGGGATGGAGCCTGTAACCTGGGCCTGTGCCTGACTGGGAAGTGAACCCTGACCTGGTTCGTAGGCCAAAACGAACCATTTAGCCACACCAGCTGGGGCCAAACGTGATATGTATTTAACACGTAGTAGAATAACGTGGTAAGTACCAGAAACACGTGTGTATCAGGATGAGAAAAGTAGCTGTAAGCTGTGACTTTCATTTTTATTGTTCATTTTTTGTTACTCCTCGCCCGAGGATCTCCCACTGATCTTTAGAGGGAGGGAGGGAAGAAGAGGGACAGACAGACACTGGCGAGAGGGACACGTTGGCTGGTTGCCTCCCGCACCCGCCCAGACCCGTGCCCTTCGCTGGAATCAGTCCTTGGGCCAATGCGCTGTCCTCTGAGCCGAACCGGCTGGAGCAGAAACTGCGTTATTTTGAACGTTTTGGAATCTGATCCACGTAAGCCAGTAGCTGAACCGACTTGTCTGCTGTGAAATGTAGCCTGGAGGACACCATGGGAACTGGCCGTCTCTCCCTCTGAGTGCACTGTTCCCGGGCCATGCGGCCCCAGTCCTCCCCCACAGAGGCTTTCCCGCGAGTCCCATGCAGCCCTCACACTCAGACTGCTTCCTCTGCTCCTCATCCGCTCTGCCGGGCCTCTCCTCCCTGTGCCCTGCATCGGGGGGCGGGGGCTGGGCCTGTGGCTGGGACCCACTGCCAGGGTGCCTGGCACCCTTCCCCGGGAGCATGTCTCCCCTTCTGAGGTGGAGGGTTTTCCAACGCGGACAGGACTGTGGGCGCCAGGGACAGGGCCGCCCCACAGACCCCTGGGTGCTGCTGCTCAGGTCCACAGGTGTGAGGGCCCCGCCGGCCCCGGCTGCCAGCACCCCTGAGTCTCCCTCTGTCTGCAGGTGCTCCCTCGGACCTGCACATGGCCTGTGACCGCGCCAGGGTGCCCCTGCGGGCCGAGGAGCGCCCCGGGAGCGCGGCCAGCAAGGTAGTGGTGCCCTCCAGCTCTCCCTCCCCACAACAGTGACCCCCGTTCCCTGCCCCCTCCCTCTGACCCCATCGGCAATGCCTGCTCCCTCTGACCCCACCGATGATCCCTGTTTCCTCCCTCTGACCCCACACCGGCGACCCCTGCTCCCTCTGACCCCACCGTCGACCCCTGTTCCCTCCCTCTGACCCCACCGGTGACCCCATCCCTGCCCCCTCCCTCTGACACCACCGGCGACCCCGGTCTCCTGTCCCCTCCCTCTGACCGTGGTCCGTGCCCTCAAGTCCAAGAAGAACGTGCTGGTGGCAGAGACGCCCTCAGCTGTGTTCCACTACTCGGACTGCGACCTGGATGAGAGTGTGGCCAGCACCAAGACGGACGCCATCTTCCGTGCCGCCAAGAAGGACCTGCTGACCCTGATGAAGCTGGATGTAGGTGCCCTCTGGCCTGTCGCCCACGGCGCCAGGACCCGCCAGTGGGTGGGCTCTGTGTGGTGGGTGGGCTCTGTGTGCGGTGGGTCCCTCGCGGCTCTGCAGCCCCGCCCACAGCAGTGAGCGTGGGATGGGACACGGGCTCACCCATCACCCGTCACTCGGCACGTCTGGCGCTCTGTGGCCGCCCTCATGTCTGCTGGCGCCATCACACGGTGGCGGGGGGCAGGGTGCCGGCGCCGCCGCACTGGCTGCTGGGAGCTCCTGTGCGGACGCCACGTTTCTGTTTAGGACCCTTCGCTGTTGGACGGCCGGGTATCGTTCCTTCATGTCCCCGGGGGCACGGTGGTGTCCAGGCAGGGGGACCAGGTGAGCGGAGGCCTGGGTTCGAGGGGCGCTCACGGAGAGGGCTCTCCTGGGCTTGTCCTCACGGCTGGGCACGCACCCCCCTCCCCGCCCCTCCCTCCACTTTGTCCCCCAAGGAGGAAAGAAGGGCTTCCCGTCCTCACGGGAGGAGGCGCCCCCTCCCCGCACCCGGTCTGGGTCACCTGGGGGAGCCTCTCCTGGGCCTCTGCGCCCTTGGCCTGTCCCCCAGCTGCCAGCGGCCTGTCCCTACACACCTGTCCCCGCACACCCGTTTCCATGTGGCTGTGCCCACACAGCCGTCCCCTCAGGGCCTGTTCCCTCACGGCCGTCCCCACATGCCTGTCCCCTCACGGCTGTCCCCTCACACCTGTGTCCACATGCCTGTGCCCTCACGACCGTCCTCTCACGGCCGTCCCCTCAGGGCCTGTCCCCTCACGCCTATGCCCACATGCCTGTGCCCACACGCCTGTGCCCTCACGGCTATCCCCTCACGGCTCGTGCCCACACTGGCCAAGTCCATTAGGGTCTGTCCCTTCCTGGCCAGACCACAGGGACGAGGTCCGAGGGGCAGTGAGCAGGTGGGGGAAGAGGTGTGTGGGCAGATAGGTTGAGGTAGGCGTCAGCGTGTGTCACTCGTCGATGTTGGGCCCGTCATGCCTGTGACGTGGGGGCCGGCAGGGAGGGTCCGCCCGCCGCACGCACAGGCACCTTGTCGGCCGCTGACGCCTGGGCCGGCCCGTCAGGACGTGAACGTGGTCTTCGTGGTGTCGGGGCTGCTGCACGTGTATCAGCGGAGGATCGACAGCGAGGAGGACAGCTGCCTGTTCGTAACGCGGCCCGGGGAGATGGTGGGCCAGCTGGCCGTGCTCACGGGCGAGCCCCTCATCTTCACCATCCGGGCCAACCGGGACTGCAGCTTCCTGTCCATCTCCAAGGCGCACTTCTACGAGTGAGCCCACTCGCCTCCGCCCGCCCCGCGCCCTTCCCCGCGCCCGCAGCGGGACGGGCCCCCTGGTGGTCTGAGCCCCCTCCCGGCACATTGTGGGGTAGACAGCTGGGCGGGGCTCCCAGGGCAGGTGGCAGGTGGTGGCTGTGCTTCTGTGCTCCTGAGTGGGAGTCACGGTTTGACAAGTGGTGCAGGTCCCGTGTCCTCTCAGTACCTGCGGGCTGGCGGGAGGGCGGCTGACGGGGCCTCTCGGCAGGATCATGCGGAAGCAGCCGACGGTGGTCCTGGGCGTGGCGCACACGGTCGTGAAGCGCATGTCGTCCTTCGTGCGGCAGATCGACTTCGCCCTGGACTGGATGGAGGTGGAGGCGGGGCGCGCTGTGTACAGGTGGGTGCGGGCGAGGGCGAGGGCTGCATGAGGGTTCTGAGGGGGGGCAGGCCTCCGGTGGAGACTCCAGGTGAGGTCCCCCAGGGCGTCCGTGGCCCGTACTCTCGCTGGGCCGGCTGGGCCCGGTGCTCATGCACACGGATGCTCCCACACCGGCCCGGGACACAGACACTCGGTGCCGGCAGCACAGAGTGTGTGCGGGTGCTGCCGGCCCTGCCCCTCGGCGGAGCGAGGGCTGCTGTGCACGTGGGTCACCGCTGCCCCTTCGTCAGCTGTCGGTCAGAACTAAGGGCGTCCAGGGCGCTTGCTTACCCGAGTGTCACGTGGACCCGTCCCATGACGGGTGGTGGGTGCGCGGGCTCCCGCAGTGCCCTGCCGCTCCAGCCCCATCCCTGCAGGCAGGGGGACAAGTCGGACTGCACCTACATCGTGCTCAGCGGCCGGCTGCGCTCCGTGATCCGCAAGGACGACCTCAAGAAGCGCCTGGCCGGGGAGTATGGCCGCGGAGACCTCATCGGTGTGGTAGGCTGGGCGCCGGAGGGCCAGGGCGCCGGAGGGCCAGGGCGCTGGAGGGCCAGGGCGCGGGCCCACTGGGCGCTGCCCGGGGGTGGGGGGAGCCCTCGCTGTGGCCTTAGGAGGGCATGCCTCCGTGGCGTTCCGTTTTCTGGGCCGGTGTGCCCACCCCGAGCTGGGCTGCGGCACAGGCGGAATCCAGGGGTTAGAAGTCTCCAGGGGCCTGGCTGCAGCGTCCTCACCGGCTCCCCGTGCAGGAGGCGCCACCAGCGCTCTGCCCTGTGTCCTGGCGCCGGGGGGGGGGGGGGGGGGGGGCGGCAGGTGAGAGTGCAGCCGGCCTCCCCGTCCTTCCTCAGGTGGAAACACTCACCCGCCAGCCCCGGGCGACCACAGTGCACGCCGTTCGGGACTCGGAGCTCGCCAAACTGCCGGCGGGCGCCCTGACGTCCATCAAGCGCAGGTACCCGCAGGTGAGGGTCTGAGCCGGCCGGGGCAGGCGGGCGGCCGGGGGCAGGCGTTTGAGCGGGTCCAGCTGTTCCTAACACACACCTGAACGCAGCCTTTCTGTCTGAGAGGCTCCACTCCGACTCAGCGTCGGCTGCAAACAGACGGCCGAGCTGCTGCTGCGTCAGGGAGGAGGGAAGTAACAGATGACATTCCACTCGAAAACGAGCGGCCGCTGAGGGCCGAGAGGAGAGGCTGGTCGTGTGAGGGGAGCGGCGCTGCCTTGTCCTTCCCGCCCGGGAGAAATGGAAGGAAGCAGCCCCGCTAAATCACAGCGCTCTGCCTGGCCGGGCGGCTCAGTGGCTAGAGCATCAGCCTGTGGCCGCAGGGTCCCGGGTTTGATTCTGGTCAAGGGCATGCACCTTGGTTGCAGGCTCCTCCCTGGCCTGGGCCCTGGTCAGGGTGTGTGCAGGAGGCGACCAATTGATGTGTTTCTCTCACATCGACGTTTCTGTCTCCCCTCTCCCCCCTCCCCTAACAATCCGTGGGAAGTGTCCTCGGTGAGGAGTGAGTACACGTGTACACGTACATGCGTGCACATCGCTGAGTTCTTAATCAGGTCAGCCAGGGGCTCTGCCTCCCAGGGAGTGCAGCCGGGGGCCGGCTGCTCCGTGTGGGCAGGGCTCCCCGTGGGGCCCAGGACAGCTGCCCGGAGTGACTGGCAGGCGGGCACGGACACAGGGAGATGCTGGGCCGAGGGGCACTTCACGCCCGGTCTGGGCCGAGCGGGCGGCATGAGCTCGTCACGCTCACCATCACGCTGGCTTTGGAAACACGGGTCCCAGGGACCGCGCCTGCTGGTTTAAAGTTTTAAAGGTTTGGGGTCTGCTCTCCCCCAGGTGGTGACCCGGCTGATCCACCTGCTGGGGGAGAAGATCCTGGGCAGCCTGCAGCAGGGGCCTGCGACCAGTGAGTGCCCGGCGCTCCGGCCCCCGCCCCACACAGCACCTCCGGCCTGCCCTCTGCCCTCTGCCCTCTGCCCCGCACAGCGCCTCCGGCCTGCCCCCTGCCCTCTGCCCACACAGCGCCTCCGGCCTGCCCTCTGCCCAGCACCACCTCAGTGGGCAAGGCCTTCATCCCAGGCCTGAGACTTCCCTCTCTCCTCTTTCCCCCCTCTCCGTGGCCTCCCTCAGTGGGGGTGCACCTCTGCTGGCTCAGGCTGTGGGGAGGTGGGTCCCCCTCGCTCACTGTGGGGTCTTCTTAGCGCTGGGGACCCAGGGGAGTCTCCCTGGAGGAGCACCCAGTGGGGAGGGCCGGATGCAGCCCACCTGCCTGAGCTGGCAGGGGCAGGGCCACTGCTGACGTGGTGTCAGGACCCTAGCCAGCCTGTTCTCCCCCCGCCCCCCCTCGGGCCCTTCTGAGGGCTGTGCCCTCTGAGTGTGGGATTGCCTGCTCCTCCCCCGTGGCCAGGACCAGACCCTGCCCCGTGCCTCAGAGGCTGCACAGCTGCACAGAGCACGTAGACCCTGTGCCCCCCCTCTCCCCTCCCTCCCCCCTCTCCCCCTTCTTCCCTCCCCCTCTTCCCTCCTCCCTCCCCCCTCCTTCCCTCACTTCCCTCCGCCCTCCTCCCCTCCCCCCTCCCCCCTCCCTCCCCTCTCTCCCCCTCTCCCCTCTCCCCCTCCCTCCATCCTTCCCCCTTCCTCCCTCCCCCCTCCCCTCTCTCCCCCTCCCTCCCTCCTTCTCCCCCTCCCTCCCTCCCTCGGAGGACTGTGACGTCAGAGGTCACTGGGAAGGACGGGAGGAAGGGGACCCCACGGTTCTCTGTGTGTGTCTGCTCCCTCCTGGGGCCGAGCCCAGGGAGGAGATGGGGTGCAGAGCCCGGCGTCTCGGTGGGGGCAGGGTGGAGGTGTCCGGTGCTCGGCTCTCCCAGCTGCTGGTGCCAGCATGTCCTCCAGAAACACCTCGTGACACCTGGAGAGTGTCCCCGGGGGCCCACCCCTTGGCCGACCACGACCCCTGCTTCCAGGTCACCAGTTTGGGCTGCGCTCCACTGGCAGCAAGTGGGACTTGGGGAACCCGGCCAGCAACCTGTCCACGGTGGCCATCATGCCCGTGGCCGAGGATGTGCCCCTCACCGCCTTCGCCCTGGAGCTCAAGCACGCCCTCAGCGCCATTGGTGAGCGGCCGTCCCCCTCGGGCGTCCGGGGGCACAGGGGCGGCGCCCGGGGCTGCACAGGGGCTCTCGCCGCTTCCCCTCCCGCCTCCGTCTCCCTGCAGTTCGTGTGTGACCCGGTCTGTGTGGGCGCTGGTTTGAGTATCATTGGGGCCGTGAGGCGGTGGGGTTTTCTTCTGCACGTGGAGGCCAGCAACAGAGCCTCCCTCGGCGTAGGCGGCCCCGGCTGTGTCTGCCCTGAGACACGGTAGATGGCAGTCCTTGCTGATTCAGACCCAGGTGTGGGGGGCTGTGTGTCATGAGCCTGTGACTGTCCGCCACGGCCGGCTGGTCTGGGTGTGGGCGTTTGTCACCTGCATTTTATGAGCTTCTGCGTCCCCTGCCCCCAGCATGCCGCCTCTGTGCTGCAGAGCTCCCACCCCGAGACAGGGTCAGAGAGGCCCCTGTCCCTGTGCCTGGCGAGCCCTGAGCAGTGCAGTCCTCCCACTTTGCCTGCGTGCTCACCTGCCCGGAGCTCCCCTCGGCCACAGGCACTTCCGTCCTGGGAGGCAGGTGCACCTCTGGGGCGGTGCTGCCCGCGGGTCGGCTGGCTCCCCTGGGGCAGCCTGGCTGTCCGGGAGGGGCTGTCGGGCAGCTCCCACCACCAGGTGCTTTCCAGGCCCCGTGCTGCTGCTGACCAGCGACAACATCAAGCAGCGCCTCGGCTCGGCCGCCCTGGACAGGTACAGGCTGCAGGGGCACCGCTGGCTGCCGCGGCTCTGAGCACAGCCCGAGACGGCCCGTGTCTGTGCGCCCTGAGGCCTGCCCCCCATGTCTGCGCCCCACGTCTTCACCCCATGTGTGCTCCCATGTCTGCACCCCCGTACGCCTGCCCCACGTCTCCAGCCCCCGTATGTCTACACCCCGTATGTGTGCACCCCCATATGTCCGCGCACCCCATATGTCTGCACCCCGTATGTCTGCACCCCGTATGCCTGCACCCCCATATGTCTGCACCCCGTATGCCTGCACCCCCGTATGTCCGCACCCCGTATGTCCGCACCCCGTATGTCTGCACCCCCGTATGCCTGCACCCCGTATGTCTGCACCCCCGTATGCCTGCACCCCGTATGTCCACACCCCGTATGCCTGCACCCCCGTATGTCCGCACCCCGTATGCCCGCACCCGTATGTCCGCCCCCCGTATGTCCGCCCCCCGTATGTCCGCCCCCCGTATGCCCGCACCCGTATGTCCGCCCCCGTATGTCCGCCCCCGTATGTCCGCCCCCGTATGTCCGCCCCCGTATGTCCGCACCCCGTACGCCTGCCCCCGTATGTCCGCACCCCGTACGCCTGCCCCCGTACGCCCGCCCCCGTATGCCCGCCCCCGTATGCCCGCCCCCGTATGTCCGCCCCCGTATGCCCGCCCCCGTATGTCCGCCCCCGTATGTCCGCCCCCGTACGCCTGCACCCCCGTATGTCCGCACCCCGTATGCCCGCCCCCGTATGCCCGCCCCCGTATGCCCGCCCCCGTATGCCCGCCCCCGTATGCCCGCCCCCGTACGCCCGCCCACGCCGTGCCGTCCGTGCAGCATCCACGAGTACCGGCTGTCCAGCTGGCTGGGGCAGCAGGAGGACATCCACCGCATCGTGCTCTACCAGGCGGACAGCTCGCTCACGCCCTGGACCCAGCGCTGCATCCGGCAGGCCGACTGCATCCTCATCGTGGGCCTGGGCGACCAGGAGCCCAGCGTGGGCGAGGTGGGCGCTGCCCGGGGCTGGGGGTGGGGCGGGCAGGGTGGGGGCTGCGGGCCGGGTCCCAGGGCTGCTGGCCAGGCGTGCAGGGGCTGGGGCAGATCCCTCCCTCTGCTGCTCTCTCCTTTAGCTCAGTGTTTCAGGGGCTGACAAAGGAGCCGCACCCAGATCTTGACCTCCTGGTGGTTTTAGCGCCTGCAGGCCCTGCCCGCCCCTCCCCCCCCTCCCCATGGCTCCTGTGGAGCTGGCGCCTCTGCGGACTCAGGCCCGGCCTGTGAATGGCGCCTGGTACCTCGCGGTGGGTGAGCCCCACCTGCCTGTCCCCAGTCCCTGGGCCGGGAGTCGCTTCCTGACAGGCCCCCTGGATCCAGGGTGTGCGCCTTCCGTTCACTGAGGCTGTCGCGGCCTCCAGGCTTCACGGCGGGAAGCAGCCACTCGGCACCCCTCCAGCGGCGGCCCCCTGTCCCTTCCTCTGCCCACGCGGCTCCCACCTCAGTCCACCCCTGGCCCTGCGGCCTCGGGGCTCCTGCTCTGCAGGGAGTGGCTCCCGGAGGGAGGGCCTTTGCAGAACTCATCGTCCGAGAAGGTTCCAGGGGCTGAGGCCCGCAGCCCCGCTGGTCACGGGACTGGGTGCTGCCTGGACAGCACGGGGGGTCAGCGCGGGGGTCAGTGCGGGGGGTCAGCGCGGGGGTCAGTGCGGGGGGTCAGCGCGGGGGTCAGTGCGGGGGGTCAGCGCGGGGGTCAGTGCGGGGGGTCAGCGCGGGGGTCAGTGCGGGGGGTCAGCGCGGGGGTCAGTGCGGGGGGTCAGCGCGGGGGTCAGTGCGGGGGGTCAGCGCGGGGGTCAGTGCGGGGGGTCAGCGCGGGGGTCAGTGCGGGGGGTCAGCGCGGGCGTCAGTGCGGGGGGTCAGCGCGGGGGGTCAGCGCGGGCGTCAGTGCGGGGGGTCAGCGCGGGGGGTCAGCGCGGGGGTCAGTGCGGGGGTCAGCGCGGGGGGTCAGCGCGGGCCTCTGGGCAGCCCCGTCCTGACCCAGCTCTGCCCTCAGCTGGAGCGGATGCTGGAGAGCTCGGCCGTGCGCGCCCAGAAGCAGCTGGTGCTGCTGCACCGGGAGGACGGCCCGGCGCCCGCCCGCACCGTCGAGTGGCTCAACATGCGCAGCTGGTGCTCCGGCCACCTGCACCTGTGCTGCCCGCGCCGGGTCTTCTCCAGGCGCAGCCTGCCCCGGCTGGTGAGGGCAGGCCGCGGCCCTGGGGGCTCGGGTTCGGGGCCAGGCGCTGTGCTCCCGGAGGCAGGGCCCGGCACGAACTGAGGTTCCTGAGGGGCACGGTGGCCTCGGTCAGCATAGCCTCCTGCCTTAGGCAGGCGCCGTGCAGACCCCGAGCCCTCTTCCCGGGGGGGCCTTGGCGGGGGGCCGGGGAGCACAGAGCCTGTCCAGCCTGCTGGCCCGCTCAGGGACATGTCGGACAGCTGCGTCCACGCTCCCGAGTCCCTGCCCAAGCACCTGGCCGTGGGCCGGCGGGGTCAGTGGGGTGCGGACAGGGTGGTGACAGACGACAGGCAGAGCCGAGGTGGGAGCGCGCCCTCCGCCCCTGCAGGTGGAGATGTACGAGCGGCTCTTCCAGCGGCCCCCGGACCGGCACTCGGACTTCTCCCGCCTGGCCCGGGTGCTGACGGGCAACGCCATCGCGCTGGTGCTGGGCGGAGGCGGGGCACGGTGAGACCCCTGTCCCGGCTCACGGCGAGCCCGGCGTGGAGGGGAGTGGTGGCACGGCAGCGCCGGCACTGCGGGCACCGTGGGTGCCGGTCCTGGCGGTGGCACTCACTCCTGTCCCTGCTCCCGGTGGGCAGAGGCTGCGCCCAGGTAGGCGTCATCCGAGCGCTGGCGGAGTGCGGCATCCCCGTGGACATGGTCGGGGGCACGTCCATCGGGGCCTTCATGGGCGCCCTGTACGCCGAGGAGCGGAGCTACAGCCAGATTCGCATCCGGGCCAAGCAGTGGACGGAGGTGGGCCCCCTGGAGCCGGCTGGTCCCCGCGGCCCCCGGAGGCAGAGGGGCACAGGGTGCGGCACACCACGGGGAGGGGCTGGCTGTGAGGTTCCCTGTACCCACAGTTCCGCTGAACACGAGGCGGGCCTCGGGGAGCCCAGCCAGCGCTTTGGGGTTCTGTGGGACAGGCAGGGTGGCAGCTGAAGGTCAGCTCCTCCGAGCTGCCCGGGGCTGGGCCCTGGGCCCGGCCTGGGCTGAGCGGCCGGTGCTGGCCTGGTGTGAGGTTTGGGTGGGGGCGGGGGTGCATTCATCAGTTTCCGGGGGAGACCCAGGGAGGTCAGCGGGGTCCCCACAGCACCCCCCTGCGAGCCACTCTGGCACAGCGCCCGCTCCCGGAGACGCACCCCAAGGTGCCCCCGGCAGCTCCGCTCTGTCTGGGAGCACAGCCAGGCCATGCTCCTCCTCCTCCGAGCCCTGCTGCCCCTGCCGCCAGGGGCGGCCCTCCCCACCGGCCTCACTGCCCCCAGGACATGTCCTCAATGATGAAGACGATGCTGGACCTGACCTACCCCATCACCTCCATGTTCTCGGGGGCCGGCTTCAACAGCAGCATCTGCAGAGTCTTCAAGGACCGGCAGATCGAGGTGCTGCCCCTCCCCTCGCCTCACCGCACCCTCCTCATCCTCCCACCCCTCCTCACCCTCCCCCACCCTCCCCCACCCCCTCCCTCCTCCTCTCCCCCACCCCTGTTCCTCTCCCCCACCCCTCCTCCCCTCCCCCACCCCTCCTCACCCTCCCCCACCCCTCCTCACCCTCCCTCACCCCTCCTCCCCTCCCCCACCCCTCCTCACCCTCCCCCCACCCCTCCTCACCCTCCCTCACCCCTCCTCACCCTCCCCCACCCCTTCTCCCCCTCCCCCTCCCCACAGGACCTGTGGATCCCCTACTTCACCATCACCACGGACATCTCGGCCTCGGCCATGCGGGTGCACACAGACGGTGAGCGCCGGCCCCGGGGGCTCCCGCAGAGATGACCTTCCGCACACGGCAGGCGGCAGGGAGGGACCAGGAGCCCGAGGGGGAGGCGCAGGAGGAGCCGGCCTGAAGGCGGCACGTTTGGGGGCGGGAGGGGCTGGTGAGGCTCGGCACACCATGCGGGGCTGCACCGGGAAGGCGGGACACTCGGAGCGCGGCTCTGGGCCTCGGACGGGATGTCCAGGAGGCGGGTCCAGCCTGCGCAGGGCCCCTCGCAGGCAGAGGCGAGGGTGCGGCAGGGATGAGGGTCCGGAGAGCTCCTGCCTCCTGGGCAGGGCCGGACCTCCGCCCCCCGGCCCCTCCAGGCTCCCTGTGGAGGTACGTGCGCGCCAGCATGTCCCTGTCGGGCTACATGCCCCCGCTCTGCGACCCCAAGGACGGCCACCTGCTGATGGACGGGGGCTACATCAACAACCTCCCAGGTACGGCCTCCCGGCGCCTCCGCTCTGCCCCTGCACGCTTCCTCCCACCGGTGCCAGGCACTCAGTCTGCCTGCGAGCAGGGAACACGCGCACACACACACGCACGCGCGCGCGCACACACACGCACGCACACACGCGCCCCGCGGCCCAGCATATGGCTCCGTTTGTCAGCTCAGCAGCTTCCAGAACAAGGGCCAGGGAGAGGCTAAGTGCTCCCCCTGTGCCCACCGTAGGAGCTGAGACGCAGGGGCTGGGGGAGGCCCGCCCTCGGGCACACCTGCCGCTGTTGGGCAGTCTGTGTGCTCCACGGTCCTCGGGAGTGCTGGGCAGGCTCTGCCCGGCCTGGGCTCCGGGCTCCTGTCCCGGGGTGACCACCCAGGGTGACCGTGACTCCTCATCCCAGCGGACGTGGCCAGGTCAATGGGGGCAAAGGTGGTGATCGCCATCGACGTGGGCAGCCGGGACGAGACGGACCTCACCAACTACGGCGACGCGCTGTCAGGGTGGTGGCTGCTGTGGAAGCGCTGGAACCCCTTGGCCACCAAAGTGAAGGTGGGCGCAGCCCTGGGCGGGGCAGGCAGTCCCCTGCCTCCTGGGTCCCAGAGTCCCCCGCCAGGCAGCCAGCGCTGGGAGAGGACGGCCAGGCAGAGCTGCTGCCCTGGGGCTGGGGAGGGCAGGCCCAGGGGACAGCGAGGCCTCGGTGGTGCTAGGTGCTGAACATGGCGGAGATCCAGACGCGCCTGGCCTACGTGTGCTGCGTGCGGCAGCTGGAGGAGGTGCGCAACAGCGACTACTGCGAGTACCTGCGCCCGCCCATCGACAGCTACGGCACCTTGGACTTCGGCAAGTTCGCCGAGATCTGCGTGAGTGCGGAGGGCGGGAGCGGGGCCTCGGGCCCGCTGGGCTCCTGTCTGCCTTTTAAAGAAACGTTTTTATTGATTTCAGAGAGGAAGGGAGGGAGAGAGAGAGAAACATCAATGAGGGCTCCTCCTGCAAGCCCTCTATGAGATCCTGCCCACCACCCGGGCCTGTGCCCTGACCACACACACACACACACACACCCCACACACACCCTGCAGGCGCTGGCTGCTTCCCCAGCCCCTGCCCTTCTGGGAGCAGGAAGTGGTCCCACAGCCAGGCCGGCCCCTGTGTGCAGGAGGTGGGGTACCAGCACGGCCGGACGGTGTTTGACATCTGGAGGCGCAGTGAGGTGCTGGAGAAGATGCTGCAGGACCGGCAGGGCACAAGCAAGATGAAGGCCTTTGATGTGAGTGCCCAGTGGGCCCTCTGCCGTCCCTCTTCTGCAGCCTGCCTCCCCGCCCACCCAGCCCCAACCCTTGAATCTGAGATTGCAGCCAGCAGCACCAGAGCACCCCTCAGCTGCCGCGTCCCGTGGCCAGAGGAGTAGAAGGCAGCAGGCCTGGGGCTGTCTCCTTGCCTCTCTGTGCCCCTGCCCCTTGCCCCATCCCTCCCCACCCCTTTTGAGAGGGTGGGGGTCTGCGCAGGACTCTGCCCATCTCTCATGTCCCCGCCCCCACTCCAGGGGCTGGGGATCCTCAGAAGCCAGGCCCCCGGGGCGGGGGGTGGGGGGGACAGGGCCCGGGGCGGGGCTCGGGCCTGGCTGGGCGCAGTGCCTGTGCCCAGGTGTGGCCTCCTCCCCAGGTCCTCACCTGCCCCAACGCCTCCTTCACGGATCTTGCCGAGATCGTGTCGCGCATCGAGCCCGTCAAGGTGGCCGTGGTGGATGGTGAGTCGGACGCCAGGACGTGTGCCCACAGCCAGGGTGCTGGGGCGCGTCCCTGCCACACCCTTGCCCAGCAACAAGGGACCCTGGGCCTGGTGGGCTGTGGGCGGGGCCCGTGCCATGGCAGCACGGCCCTGCCCCCGGGGGACCAACGTGGACCCCTGTGCCCAGACGAGTCTGACTACCTGACCGAGTGCGAGGAGGGCTTGCCGGAGGGCCCCCAAGAGGCCTACGCGGACTTCCAGAGCTCCCCGGCCGACGGGGGCTCCGACTGGGTGAGCTGCCGGGCCTGCCTGGCCCCTCCGCGCCACCCCTGCACTGAGGCCTCCACTGTCCCCTCCCGACCGTGCGGTCTGCTTCCAGGAGGACGAGCCCTCGCTGCAGCCCCAGCACCCCAGCGTGGCCGCCCCCACACCGCCCCCGGACGCCTCGCCGCCCCCGTTCTCTGGCCAGGACGGGTAGAGGCCTGCCCGGACGCCCCCTGAAGCCAGTACCTCGTGGCCTGTCCTGGAGACCGTGGCTCCCGGGCAGGAGACCTGGCCGCACCCGGACCGTGCTGGGTGTCAGGCCTCTACACTGGGCGCTCCTGGGGCGCTGGTCCCGGCCCTCCGGCACGCACAGCAGCCCCCCCGCCCCCCCCCGGCTCTGAGTGGTGCTGGAGCCTCTGAGCCCTGATGCTTCTGCCCATCGGGCCAATAAAAGTAGATCTGATGGTGTGGGCGTGTCGTCCTTAGCCCGTCCTGTGGCAGAGCCGTGCCAAGACTGCCTGCAGCCACTGGGCGCAGGGGGCCTGGTGGGCGGACCCCGCCTCCCTCCCCTGTGCCGGGACCTGAAACCCTGGCAGCAATTCCAGGCCAAGCCGGGCGCACGCCCAGGGTCTGGGGTCCCCAGAGCAAGGACCAGCCTCCCCCACCCCGGGCATTGCTCCCACTGGTGCACGGGACGCACCTAAGACGCGGGAGCCCCCACTTCTCCGGGTCATGGAGCAGCGCCCGGTCTGCGGGGGAGGCGGGGAGGGACCTCTGACCCGGAGCCCAGGGCCTTGCAGGCAGGTGCCTGCCCTGATGCGGATGGACGGAAGGACACTGTTGGCGGAGCTGCCCCCCGGGTCCTGACGTCAGGTGGGCGGCCAGGGCGCACGGACCGCCGGCCCCGCCCCGCCCCGCCCCGCCCCTGACGTCACGGCGGGCGGAGCATCGCCCCCGGGCCTGGCCGCGGCTCGGCTCCGGCTCCGCTCCGGGTGCGGGACGCGCGGAGGGCCCGGCGACCATGCGCGCCCCCGGCCCGAGCCCCCGTGCGGCCCGGCTCCCCCGGAGGCGGCGGCGGGCGCGGGGCGCGCTCTGAGCCCGGGGATGCGCCGGCGCCTCGACCATGGGCGCCGCCGCCTCCCGGAGGAGGGCGCTGCGGAGCGAGGCCATGTCCTCCGTGGCGGCCAAAGTGCGGTGAGTGCCCGCTGCCCCGCGGGCTCCCGCCCGCCCCCGGGCGCCCCCGGGCCTCCCCACCGCGCGGGGCAGGGTCCCCGGCGGAGGGCCGACCGCCCGGCTGCAGGTCCCGCCCGCTGCCCTGGCCCCGGGTCCGGAGCTGCGACCTGACCCGCCGGCCGGGCTCTGGGGGAGGAGTGCCCGCCGGGTGACCCGGCTGCAGGGGCGGGGACCCAGCGCCCGCCGCGGGCGAGGCCGGCCGCGTGCCTGACGGCGCCGCGCTGTCCACCCCCAGAGCCGCCCGGGCGTTCGGCGAGTACCTGTCCCAGAGTCACCCTGAGAGCCGGAACGGAGCAGGTAGGGGCGCGGGAGGCGGGGCGGGTCCGCACAGCCCTGGCCCCGGGGCCACTGGCCCTGTTCCAGCGGCGCCCCGTTGGCTGGGGGTGGGTGAGCTGAGTGGCAGCAGCTGCCCCGCGGGGCTGGCTCCCTCATGCCCCTGCCCTCCCTGCCCAGGGCCCCAGGAAGAGCTCATCACCATGGCACCCACCCAGCCTGGGCCGTTGGCATGGCAACCGGCCTCCTGGCACCCCCAGGGTTGGCACCGCTGTCTCTGGGGGCCAGCTGGCTGGGGGAGGGGAGGAGTTGGCACTGGGCACCGTGAGCGGTGCCAGGCTAGGAGGGGCTGCTGCTTCTTGCCCCCCGTCGCCCGGCAGGTAGCACACCCTGTCGCCCACACGCACAGCGCTTGGGCCCCGCCGGAGGGAAGGCAGCCGCTGCAGGAGCCCTCGGAGCCCCCTCCTAGGAGGGCAGGGACCAGGGTGGTCGGTGGGGCCGGGCAGTCCCAGGCCCACGTCCCGGCCTCGTAGCACCAGGAGACAACGGGGAGGGAGGCCTCGGCCTGGAGCTCACCTGCCGCCTCTCCCCCAGACCACCTGCTGGCCGACGCCTACTCTGGCCACGAAGGGTCCCCCGAGATGCAGCCGGCCCCCCAGATCAAGCGCCGCCTCTCGCTCGTCTCCAAGGGCAGCCTCTCGGAGGAGGGGCCCATTGGGAAGCCGGCGGGCGAGGGCCCCCAGCCCCGCGTGTACACCATCTCGGGGGAGCCCGCCCTGCTGCCCGGCCCCGAGGCCGAGGCCATCGAGCTGGCCGTGGTGAAGGGGCGGCGGGGCCGGGAGCAGCACCCCCCCCACCACAGCCAGTCCCTGCGCGGCAGCCGCGAGAACATGGGCACAGCCTGCCCGAGCTGGGCGGGCAGCCGCCAGGGCTCCCAGGACTGTCCGGAGTGCGCACCACTGGCCCCGGGCCCCTCCCCTCGGGCCTTCGGGCTGGACCAGCCGCCCCGGCCCCAGGCCACCGGCCGCCGCAAGAAGCTGGAGAGGATGTACAGCGTCGACCGCGTATCTGGTGAGGGGCTTGGCGTGGGCGCGGGCGAGCTTGGGCGGATGCTGGTGCCAGGGCTGCTAGCAGAGCCGCTGGGATGCTTGCTAGGTGGAGGGTGCCCAGGTCACAGCTGCAGCTAGTCCTGCCCTCTGCCCCGTGGCCCGTGGTTGGCCGTGACCCTGCCAGAGTCAGAGAGTGCTTCTCGGAGGAGGAGCTTGCAGGGAAGGAGGGTGCGGAGGGGAAAACATGGCGAGGTTGGACGGTGGCGCTGCCCCGGCCCGACCCCCATGCAGGGCTTCCTCTCCTCAGGACACACATGGCTGTGTGGGCCTGGCCAGCCGTGGGCCTCCCCCCAGGCTGGTGGCTCTGTGGGTGGTGGGCACCCCCGAGGCCGCCACGCCTTGAAAAGACCCCCCTGGGCCTCAGGCAGCCCTGCCTCCTGCTCGGAGGGCGCCTCCTGAAGGCAGAGCTCTCCCTAGCTGAGCCGCCATGTCCCCCGAGGCACCTGCTGGGCACTGGGCACAGCCCTGGGCGTGGGCAGGCCCCCTCCACCACCTCAGGCTCCTGAGGGACAGGAGCTGGGGTTGGGCGAGGGTCAGGGAGGGCGGCAGAGCGGCTGCAGCCTCCCCACCTGGTCTAGGAGCTGCAGGTGGACACACGCTCGGGGGTCTCCACCTCACCCTCTGGAGCAGGGGGGCGTCTGGCCGCTCCCACCAGGGTCCTGGTGCAGAGGGTCTGGGGGGCTGCGCCTTTCCCTGGCCCGCCTCCTCCTCGCGGAGACGGGATCCTGCCCGGCTCCCTGGGGACAGGCTGTGCTTTCCCAAGAACGCTCCCCACTGCGCAGCCAAAGAGCTGAGTGAGGACAGCACCCGACACGAGCCCGCAGTGGTGGGCGCACGTGGCCGAGCCTGTGCCTACCTCCCCCCCCACCCACCCCCCCCCCCCCCCCCCCCCGGCTGTGGCCGAAGCACACGCTCCCTTGCAGGCCCCGCCCCCCGCAGGCCCCGCCCTCCCCCGCAGCCCCCCCCACTCCCCTGCAGGCCCCGCCCCTTGCAGGCCCCCCCCTCCCCTGCAGCCCCCCCACTCCCCCACAGGCCCCCCACTCCCCTGCAGCCCCCCACTCCCTGCAGTCCACCCACTCCCCTGAAGCCCCCCCACTCCCCCACAGGCCCCCCCACTCCCCTAAAGCCCCCCCACTCCCCCACAGGCCCCCCCACTCCCCTGCAGCTCCCCCACTCCCCTGCAGCCCCCCCCACTCCCCTGCAGGCCCCCGCCCCCACCGCAGGACACCCCACTCCCCTGCAGCCCCTCCACTCCCCCACAGGCCCCCCCACTCCCCTGCAGCCCCCCCCACTCCCCTGCAGCTCCCTCCCTCCCCTGCAGGCCCCGCCCCTGGTCACCACTCCTCTGTCTCTTCCAGACGACGCCCCCACCCCCATCCGCACCTGGTTCCCCAAGGAAAACCTCTTCAGCTTCCAGACCGCAACCACAACTATGCAAGCGTGAGTTGTGTCCCCGCCGTGCGCCCGGCCCCTGGCCCTGGCCCTCAGCAGCCCGTGCCCACTCATGGCGTCCCTCTGAAGGCAGGCGGGCCAGCTGCTCTCACCCCCGCGGCCCCCAGGCCTCCCCTCTCTTCACGGCGCCTCCTGCCCGACTACGGTTGGGACAGTCACCAGTGGGGGCGGCTCCCCTGAGCCCGTGTCACTCAGCTCTGCCCACGAGGCTCTGCCTCACCGCGCCCGACAGCAGCCTGCTCACGGTGGTCCGTGTGTCCCCGGGGAACAGTGTAGGGCCCCGGGGTCTGCCCTCTGTCCGGGCTCTTCCCAGGCCCCCGGCCGTCCTGTGCTCCACGCCGGCGACACTCCTCCCCACACGCTCCCACCACACCCCTAGGCCCGGGGCTGGCAGGCCACACGCCTGGGGAGGGACTGGCCGCAGGGCGCTCCTGGGAGTGAGGGGTCCAGGCTCACTGTCTCTTCTCTCCCACGCTGCCCTCTGGCCGCGCCTCCAGCATCTCGTAAGTACCCCGTGGGGCCTGCAGCCTGGGCAGGCGTGTCCCCCGGAGCCCCTCACCCCAGTAAGCTCGGGCAGGCCAGCGACGGGGCCTGGACCGTGAGCGCCGAGGCGGCAGCGGCCCGCCAGGGGCCAGGCCAGGCCCAGTGCCCCGGTTGGCCCACGGTCCCCGAGCTCTCGCCTCTGCCCCCATGTCTGTCCCTCTGCCCGTGCTGACTCCCCGGTTTCCCAGGGTGTTCAGGGGCTACGCGGAGAGGAAGCGCCGGAAACGGGAGAATCATTCCGCGTCCGTAATCCAGAGGTAGGGCCTGCCAGCCACTCGCCACCGGGGTCCGTCTCATGTGTGTGCTGGTCTGGCCTGGGCCCCCGAGGCCCCCGCAGACCGGATGGGGGAAGGGCGGTGGCGACCACTGGCCTGGCCCTGCTCTGGGGACGCAGCAGGCAGGCGAGGGCACGGTGCCTGGGCCCCAGGCTCTCGTTGGGGGCACAGTGGAGCCAGAGCTGTGGGGTCAGTGTCAAGGCTGACCCTCCCGGCTCTCACCTCAGATGGTCAGATGGCCAGGAAGTCGGCCTTGTCAGGGCACAAGGGTGTGGCAAAGGAGACCTGCCCCTGAGCGGGGGGGTGAGGAGGGGTAAAGGGGGGGAAGA